GTTGAAATCAACGGTCGAACTGTCGATCCTGCGTTAGTGGAGTTTCGTCAAGGGAATGCTATTACAACAGGCTTTTAAATCCATGCTCAAATAAATACCTCCTGAAGAACGACAAAAGTATGCGCATAAAATCATGCAAATAACTATTCCTGCACTCAGCACGTGTCGGGCATTCCAGCTAGGCTGCGAGGTCAACCCCCATAATAGCACATGGAGTGAACACCGATGTCTGAACGATTTCAACGATTTGAAGTATGTACAGAAACTCCTCTGTCATTGTCCAATTCTCTCTCTAATTTCTGCCTTTGCCTTTTATGGTTCAAGGTGCAATTCAATTCGCTGACGAATTACATGCCGAAAATGTGGACTCCCAATCGCGGCTGTCAGCACTGTCAGGAGGACAACATCAAGTTGGAGGAACTTAACGTGAGTTCAATAGCACTTCGCTCTCCCCTTTTTGTTACTTCGTGTGTCATCAGTCCAACTCCACTAATTTTTTGGCTAGGGTTACGCCCTTTCTGCTATATCTATAAGTTCTAGCAGCGCTTTATGTCTGAGATTTGGGGTTGCCAATCCGAAGTAAATGGGTTTCAAGGGTACAAATTCCTGACTTTATCTCCGCCTCTGTGCAGCTGCCTTCGTTTGAAGACCCATTCAGTCTAACCTGTGAAAATGACTGTTGTCTAGGCGTCTGCTTTATACTGAAGCCAAAACCCTAATTGACTATCTTTGGATCCGCCAACTGGTAAAATAGCAAGTTGTTTGTCAAGAGACAAGCAGATGCGCGAGCTGTCTCCATCTGTGACATCTCGAAGGTCTTTTCGAAATTCGCATGTCATACAGTGATATCCTTCCTATTTCTCTTCAACGCACAGAAGGCATTTACCTCCAAAATTGGTATCAAGGCCAGTCGTGGCCACATCGGGGCCAAGTGCCAGGTCACTGGTTGTAACTAAGTTCATTTCCAATCAGCTAGCCTGAGTAATAATCCTGGAAGTTGTTAATTTAACACTAAGTGGTGACCGATACTGCTTAATTATTCATTATTATCATACTTCTGCTGCACGAAGCAACTCGATCCATAGCAACTCTCAGTAAGCCTGTTTGCGGAAAGGGTGCTTATACTTTTCAGTTATGCAACTCCAGTGCGGGTCATCGTCTAGAATTAATGACAAGCCAAATAAGATGTCAGCTTCTTTAACGTTTTCACATATTACTGTGTTACCTTGGAGACAAACGTTTTAAGGCTCGCTCTGAAAGTTGGTATGGGTATCTGCGCTGGAATCCATCGGCTTCCGTGGGTTAACTTTGTCTTATTCACAGGCAAATATTGCATTATTCGGGTGAATCGTGCAATAAATTAGATGTGTTATTTGGTGAGCCTCTTTCGGACTATGTTTATTAGTTCCTACCAACTTGAGTGTACAGAAAGACGACTGACAACACGGTCCGCTGATAATTTACAGCAGCTCTCGTCGTGCACGAGTGCGAAAGGGTTTAAAGGACTTTGATTTCACCGGAGCATATGAAAATAACTTTTCGCCGTTTGGGTTGATTTAAAGTGCTAAAGACTTCCTCTATGCATTTCCAGGCGGATTTCTACCCGGTTGTTCAAATCAGCGTCTTTATCTCCACACCAACACCCTTCATTGAAAACTTCTTCGAGACACTTGCAGAACTGAACTATCCCAAGCATCGCATCTATCTCGTTCTCTATTGCAAAGTGAGTAGATCTGTATGTTGAGATTCTAAGCTGTTCGTTTGGATTTTCGGTTCGTAAAACAATTAATATGCCCTACGTTGCAATAGATCCTTTTGCTTCTGTGGTCCATTAACTGGTCTTTGACCAGTCCAATGAGGATCAGACCCCACGACCCCACCGTCAAGTATTCATGCTACTTACGAAGTTGATTTTTATTTTCAGTTTGAGCTGTAAATTTCGCCATCACCCTAGCACTACAAAATTTCGGTCTGCATTTTCTTGGTGGGTAAGGTAGATTTAAGCAGGCTGCCTGTTGATGAAACGGAAAGCCTAGGCTCGACCAACCAGTACTTCGTTTGCAGTCTGATGTTACTTCTCCACCTGCTGGAAAGAAAACTGCATAGTTATATGTTTTGCGAATATTTTGTGTATGCTTTATGAAGGGCTGCCTTGAGCGAGGAACATTGGAACCATCTTATGCCTTCGTCCTCCGGGCTCGTTGATCTTTTTTGGAATGAACAGTAATTTTTCTGTCCTTTTCTGCAATAGGTTGAGGAGCATTACGCGTCGCTTTTGGAATTCAATGCCACTCAGGCCTGGGAATACAAGTCATCCGTCATCCTCAGCGAGAAAACCTATCCGACAGAGCTGGCTGCCAAAAAACGGGCTTGGTAAGGATAGGGCACCGGAGGTCTTGCCGTTAAACACCGATTCATGCCGTTTTTTCCACAGTTGGCCCCGCGCATACTTTCTCGTCCTCCACTCATTTGAAACCTTTGTTTCTTGATAGGTCCGTGTGTCTGAGCTACGAAGACTGTGCTTTTGCACTGACCCTGGACTCCACCGCCCGACTCACAAGCAAGAACACTCTCTATCACCTCGTTCGAATGAACCGAAATGCTCTAGCTCCTCTCCTCTACCGTCCTGGCAAGCTTTGGTCCAACTTCTGGGGCGCTCTTGATCACGACGGCTATTATGCTAGATCGAGCGACTACATGGACATCGTTGCGGGCAAACAACGGTGGGTGCAAACATGCCAGTATCGTTTGCAGTCGGTTTTTATACTGCTGTGTTTGAGAATATCCATGCACTGCCCCCATGCATGCAAGTAATGCATATGAGGCCTAAAATCTTTTGGATATTCACATTCATCCTCACAGTTCCTGGACTATTTTCACCTAATTAGCAGAGGGGAAGTTAAAATCTTGTATTCTCAATTTGAGAAGCGAATACGTGGTTTTCGGTTAGCATTAAGAATCGGCATGAATATTCGATATCTCAATAATGCTGTTATGTCAAACAGGTCCTAAAGATAAGGTTTATCACCTTCCATCCTGTTAATGAGTATTTAGGTAGGCATGCGTGCTATGCTTATAAAACCCTTTGTAATTACTATTGTATTTCGATTCCAGAAGGCAGATGGGCATAGTTTTCCTCTTCGCAGGACACAGCTTGTTACATTCTCTACTTGGTAAAGGAATCGGGATTCATCGGCAGTGCCGATGCCGATTCGGTCGATTTCATTGCAGCTCTAGAGGCCATACTGGTGCGGACTGCAATAACAGACGACGAGAAGCATTCGGTTCGACAACGGGTCACCTCTTTACTGATGAAACACCGCCCAGCCCACTGCATGTCGAAGAGTGAGTTGAAAGCCATGAAAGAATTAAGAACGGACGATCGTATTATTGTTCTGCCCGCGGATAAGGGACGGTCAACGGTCGTCATGAATCGAGAAGACTACAACGAGAAAGCCAAAGCGCTGCTTGATGACAGAGAATTCTACAGACCAGAGCAAAGATCAGAAGCAAAAGCAGTATCAAATCGGTTGAATAAAGTACTCGAAGAATTCAAGCGCCGTGATATGATCACTGAGAACGAACGGCGCCTGATGAATGCAACAGATACTGCCCTGGCTCGCTTTTATGGTCTGCCAAAGATCCATAAACCAAACGTCCCATTGCGGCCAATTGTTGCCCTCAAAGGCAGCCCCCCTATCATTTGGCTAAATGGATGTACTA